TTATACTGTTCTAAGGAGTGTCCGAATATTAATGGGAATCATTGTATGTGTAGATTAGAAAATTGTTTATGTAAATTTCTAGTTTAGAAAAGTAAATTGGGATTAATACAGTAGGGATAATAATGAAGAGTGTAGAAAATTGGACAAATAGATGGCAGACAATAAGTAACATCGAAATAATTAAGTATTAATATACAATTTCACTTAGAAAAGAAGTTCAATCTAATATTTTGTATATTTCAAGAATAATGTACATACGAATACAAAAAAGTGTAACAATGAACTAAACAAAATGAAAATTAAAATGCATAGTTTATCACTGCCACTTATTACGTTCATTATGTTCGTTCGCAAGCTCCAAGAACGAATTAATAGATAAGTATTGATAATAAACAAGCAACGACACTGTATCGTATACAAAAACAATCACATAAGCGATCTGTAGTGAAATCCATAAAGCCAGTCATCAGTCAGGTGCACACCTAATCGATTGATTTTCGATGTACCTTTCTCGAAAAAGAAGTCTCCAACACAACTGTGTTATTCGTGATTTTTATCTTATTTTCGTCCACAGAATTTTTCTCACCCCGCGTGTACCACAATTTACGGCCCAATTTCTATGCATTCGAAGCAAAAACATTTCAGTATTTACCGTGAACCTCTTACGTGTAAGAATTCTTCACTCCTTGTACATAAAAACAGTAGTACAATTTAATATTGAGCCGACGCGTAGTAAACTATCAACTTTCTATTTAATGAAACATCTAACTTAACGATTACAAATTCATCATTCTGATTGGGTAAATTTTCACTGTCAACACCATCGATAATCAGAGTCGAACCTGTCGCCGGCTATTTTATTGTATCAATTAAGCGTTAATTATGCAACGGAATGCGCTCGCAGCCTGGTCGATCATTTTTACCGCGCACCCCATACGTTTTCCCCGGCGGCTGATGGCCAGAAAAAGTACAGAAGGAACTTGAACGATCACGCGAGCCCCGTAAACGGTTATCGCATCACTCAACCGGAAGTTCACCGGTGCTGGCCGGAAAAAATAGCCGGATACGCACGTCCCTGTAATTATGCTTCGTAAAATTCAGGAGTTTTCTCGCGTGTCGGCCCGGCCAGATTGGATCGTTCGTGGGATGAGACCAGACGTAAAATTTAAATCCCTTTTGAGTGGCGGAAAGCCTTTCACGGGGTTACGAGTAATTTCCTCTTAACTAACTGCAATTTGAAGCGTCGCGTTAACTTATTGATCGAAGATTTACACACGGTCGGATTATGCGTCCGCGTGAATTATAGCCAGAACCCTTGGGTATAGGGCACTGGACATTTTCCCCGTTAATGCAATTTCCTGTGATTATTGTTTTCGACGTGTTTTCCTTTTTTAATAGAGAACGAAATACGATAGTGGTACAATCTATGTAAAATGGGAAATTATTCAGTTATTTTGTTTATTGTTTATTCTTTCTAATATTCAATTCTATTAAACGTCCAAGTAAACATTTTCACAAAAATTCCTATAATATAAATTTCGATAAGTCGTCTTCTTTTTCCTTTTATTAATAAAGTAAGTATTGCATCTGATTACATTCGATCAATCAGCAATTTTGTCTCAACCTAAATCACCTAATTGTTGTTTAAACTAATATATCAGTCATTGGAGTCTCTCAGGTCTTAATTGTTGAACTTTTTCTTCCTTCTTCTTTTACCTTATGCTAGCTGCAGTTTTTCACTGTGCTCTACTTTTAAACACTCTCGCTTGTCATTATTACACCAGGTCCAAAGATTTCCTCTTCAGGCGTCTTTTGGTTTCACGATCATGGAGTGGCTGGTGTATTTCGATGTTCATATGTAGATGCTCTTTGTAGAACCGTTGTACTTCTTCTTTCACTATCTCAATCTTGAGATCTCTGTATTCGATTTAAAAAAAATTAATTCAACCTTGAAATCTCCCCCGCTACTTCACCAGCGAAAAAACTGTTTAAACCACATTATGTCCCCCATCATATCAAACAACTGTTATAAGAACACTTTTTCGATAGGTTTCAGATAGGTGTCCATTTAAAAAAGACACCCTGTATGTGAATCTGTATTTCGAATGTACCAAGGTGCGCCCGCAATCTTTCGAAGTATACTTTGTTTCGGAATTTTCGAATGAATTTTGATAAATAAAAAACATTTAACTATTGATTCTCAATTATTAAACACGGTAATTTATTCAAACCACCTAAAACTCTTTCAATTTTTCTAAACTAAAAATTTGCACAACCGTGTCATCAATCCTGAGAGCTTCGTCTAGTACTATACGAACGTCTCATCCCTTTCGATATTCGCGTTGTCGAGACATCTTCCCGGCGTTTCTCGATTCGTCTTCGATATCCCGGTTCGACCGCGAGTAGACGAGATTGATCGCGAACGCTCGCGGAAT